AAAAAGTATAAATCTCTAAATCTATTTACTATTTCTAAACTACTTACATTGTGTCTTGAACTTTCTACTTCTAATTAAGAATTAAAGACTAACTGTCCTGAATTTCTGAGCTTTTAATTTTAAATTCAGGACCAAGTGTCTTAAATTTTTAAGCTTCTAACCTTCTAACTCTAAGTTTAAGACTAAGCGTCCGAAATTTTTGAGCTTCTAACTTTAAGTTGAGGATTAACTGTCTTAAACTTATAAGCTGCTCATTAGGAATTGAGGACTAACTGTTCTGAATTTTTGAGCATCTAACTTTAAGTTCAGGACTAACTGTCTTGGACTATAAGCTGCTAATTAGGAATTGAGGACTTACACTTTTTTGCAACATTTCCTTTTCTCCTTGCCCAACAACCCAATGAATTTCGTCAATAACTTTTCATCATCTTTGGCATAATAAAAAATATATTTACGAGTATATTTTAATTTTATCCAGCCCGTATATTCAACAGTATTCTCATTTTGCGCCATCGATGTTCCTTTTTTTTTACCTGTACAAATGGAGATTGCAATTGCCAACTAAGCTTATTATTCCTTCTTTCTCTACCAATCTCTTCTTCAATATTTCGTTCAACATCCATGGACAAACCTTCATCAATGCTCCCTTGTGTAATCGAAGGAGTAAGGATAGCAAATAATGCACCATCAAAATCGATACTATCTCTCTTCCTTTTCTTAGTATACTGATTCATGACTTCATTTTTGTTTTGCTATATAAGCAAAACTACATATATATTAGTTTGGCTGCAAGACCTCAATTTTAGGACACATTGTCCTATGAAAAAACTAAAAGTCATGACACATTTTTTGAAATATCCTGAAACTATGATGTATGAATCTAAAATGCAGGACACAATTGTCTGAAATGTCCTTAAGTTCTGGAATTTGACATGAAAAAAAGAACTTAATACATGTGTTCTTCTATTTTTTTAAGAGACAATGGTGTTGGGATATTACTTATGCTTGTTCCATCCATTGCATTTTCTTTATCTTGAAACTGTGCTCCATATTTTTTGCTTGCAATTTCACAAGATTCTGCAATATTTTACAAGAGCAAAAATAATTAGTACTTGTTACTAATTTTCGACTAAAACTAACATGTATAAGATCAATAAAACTCCATCTAACCTTTCGCAACTGTCAAGATCAAGCTAGTTAGATCAGTAGTAAAGTGTTCTTCCTTGAGCTTTCAAACAGTAGTTATGTACTTAATGATAAGGTTTGATATTTTACAAGGCGTTTCTTTTCTTCTTCTTACTTTATTATTTTTTTAATTATTTATGACTGATGGATTTTTTTTATTTTTTATGAAGCATATTGACATTGCCTTATATTATTTGAGGAATGATACTACCCTTGCACCCACCCATTTCGTTGCACGAGTACAAATATAGTTTTCGATAACTATATGCTTCTTGTGTATGATGATTTTAATGAAGATACTTCAAATGAGTTCTGGTATGGTGAAAATCAATTGTATCTCACACTGTATGTGTGAGGGACAATCGGAGATGTGAAATGCTTGGTCAGAGGTTGATAAAATCTTTTTTTTATTTTGACTACCTTTAGAAAATAGTGATGATGTGACGCATTTACTTTTGGGAGTATTGGACTTAAATGAGAAAAATATTGATGTGTATGACTCCATATATAGTGAACCATATGAGGCTGGATTGAAATGTATGCGCGCATGATTCCCCATCTGCGTAAGTTCTCACAGTTTGAAAAACATCATAAGTCTATTGGAAATGCATTCAATAAATTTAATATCCAGTGGCAAAGAACACCCGAAACTAATTAGATCGTAAGTGTTGTCATTTGCTATATAATTTATATGTACTTTAGATTTATTTATTAAGGATATTATTTAATTAACTTCCTATCTTAATTTTTTTAGGACTGGTTGTGATGCATTCTTAATCAAATACGTCGAGTTGTTGATGATGGGGAAGGATGTGAACAAAATCCATCCTGAGCACATATCAAACTTCAGAAAAGAACTTGCAGCAAACTTTTGGGCACATGGAGAGTGGAAAAAAAAAGTACTGGATATGAAAAATCGGTGATGATTATGATTGTGAAAATGAATCTTTTTGCCCGAAGGAGCTGTAGTATAGTAGAATGGAAAGTCAGCTAACTTTATAGATTATAATAGGACACAAATTATTAACTGAATAGAACGTATTTTTGTCCTGAATTCCGGCTCATGTGTCCTAATGTTCAATGTTATTGTTCAAATATTCAGGACAATGTCTTGAATTTTAGTAGCAGTGCTGAATTTTGTTTCATATATATCATTTTCCTACAAATGTGCATCAAGAAGATGATATGTTAAGCAATGATAGATGAAGTTTTTTGTCTTTTTATATGTTAATATGACTTTTATTTTCTATTAGATTGTCGTAGAACTTCAGAACACAGTGTTTCAAAATGTCCTGATTTGTTGAAGTATGAAACTAATGTTCTAGACATATATTTTTGAAATATCCTAAACTTCTTGTGAAAATTTTCAATTCGAGTTTTTAACTTCTACGCATTGGTAATTTCAAGAAGTTAAGGACATTTCAGAAAATTTTGTCCTCAATATTACCATGTATATATTACCAGGACATTAATCGAGTCCTGGTAATATATTCTCACCCTCTACATATGTTTGTTTCATTTCTTGCAACAATGTTAAGAGCTTCATCCACGTCTTGCAACAATGTTATTGTATCTATCTTTAAGTATATCATAATAATACTGTTAACCAATCCTCTTTTGTGTATCTACTAGCAGTTGTCGTTAAATTAATCATTAGGTAGATAGAAAACTTATCCAGATTTAAATCTAGTGCTTTGAGGAAAAAGTTGAGTAATTAAATCAGTGCATTTAAGAAACACTATTCCACGTCGAATATGGATTTTGCATTTTGGAAAATACAAAACTACCATAAGTACACTAACAGAACCTTAGGCCTTAGCGGATACTTTTAGGAAACCTTTTCTCAATTAAGGGTGAGGGTTTACTATAAGAATTAGCTATGATTTGTGTTTTTTTACCATCATTCTTTAATTAGCTTTAATACAAGAAAAACTATGGAACGGTAAAACTTTACATTTTTTGTGTTGGCTTACGGCAAAGTGTATTATATTTTGTAGTGAAGATCGATTCGACTTTGCTATATACTTCAGTTGCTCCTGCAAACTATACAGATATATGCTTCATTATGTCAACAATTAAGACAGAAAACTCCTTGCTCTACAGCACAGAGGACATTTTTCTAGCACAAGAGGATGGTACCACATTAATTATTGTAATTGTAATCAATATTAATGTACTTGCATGAACCTTATATCTGCATGGTTTAAAGTAATATATACACTAACAATATACTGAATTTTATACTGTCAACATAATTTAACTTGTTATGTTGCATATCAGAAAAACTTAAATTCTTTGTTATTTACTACCCCTATATTCTAATAGATGATTTTATATATATATAATCGAGTCACCCCAAGAGCAAGGTGGGTAGTTCTTGGAGGGAGGGAGCCGAGGGTGTATCGGAAACAGTCTCTCTACCCCAGGGTAGGGATAAGGTCTGCGTACACACTACTCTCCCCAGACCCCACTAGGGGGATTATACTGGGTTATTGTTGTTGTTGTTGTGTGTATGTGTATATATATATATATATATTACGGAGCTATCAACTTTTTTCTTAATTACTTATACTTTCTGATACATTGTTTAAATATTTTTTTTATATAAACAACTGCAATGAGTTCAAGTACTTTTAACATAGTTTTTTATTATCTAAATTTTATTTAAAAAAGATAATGAAATCAATGTCCGGATAAGGTTGAAAATAAAAACAATTACCGTCATATTCTAAAAACTTTCATTTTCTTGAAACAAAGAAACAACTTGTCATCACCAATCATCACCCAGGGTATGGTGAAATGGCAAATGTTCATTTACCCTTAATTAAATGTCTCAAGTTCCACTTATGTAGAAAGCACTAAAATCATGCACAATAACTTTTTCATGATGCAATTATGAATTATTCATAATTGAATCAATAAGTTTCGAACACTAGATGGCTATAAAAATAATGACCGCTTGTTAGCGCCGAGTCCGTCAGACTCGCGAAGATCTAAATGAACCTTTACTTAACTTGCAAAGTTGTCAACTAAAAGCACAACGAAAGTTCTTTAGCCCGCTGTCAATCAACTCCATTCAGAGCGAAAGTAGAAGTACATATATGAGTTCGACCAAATCTATAGATTTTGCTTAAACTATATAATTGTGTTAAAAATTTATTAAATATGTATATTAAATTTAAAACAGTTATTAGTATTTGAAGATATCGTTCTAAAATTCAAAACTCATGAAACTGAAATTTTGGCTACGCTTCCTACTCCATTCCATGCGATTAAGCTCATCTTCACTCTTTGTACAGTCCCCTCACATGCTAATGCGTTAGCTTTACAATTACCACAACAAACTTGCAGCCCACTGAAAGTCACTAGCACGTTGCTAGTCAACTCTGATCCATGCGACAGATTCATATTCATTCTTCCCAATATTCCAATGCTTTCATCTTTTGCGCACTAACAAGTAACGTTATAGGCATGCTCATTATTCTTTACTCGAATTTTCGTGTGTATGTATATATTAATATTCATATACATAATAAAATTATAAAAAACGCCTAAGGAGTCAAATATTATGTTTGTAAATAAAAATTGAAGTATAAGACTTTTATTTCCTAAGTATTCACTTCGTTTAATTTTATATGATATGTTTGACTTAGCACATAATTTAAAAAGCTTTTTATAGAGTAATATATTAGTGATGATAAAAGAGAATATAAAATTAGTGTCCGAAAAGAAAGCAAACATCACATCAAAGTTTAAGTATAAATAGTTTAACGAATTTAAGTTATTGAGAATTGTGAAAATAATATAAAAATAAAATGGCGTCAAGGTTTTTGGAATGTGTCGTATAAATTTAAATTGAGGGAGTATTTAATATTTTCAAAAGGAAAAATGTTCAAATTAGAAGATCAACAAAAGACTCGCAACAACACATGGAATGACTCAATTTCTTGATTTGTGCATGTTATCCATATTTAGAAGTCACATTAGTTTCTTTATATCGTTCCAATTTTATCCGATGTCAGTAACACCGAAGATTGGGGCAACGTCCTTTTTTTGAACAAGTCCCTACCGTATAATACCCCGACTTTGACACCTCTCCACTCTACACAACGTCTTTTTTCTTGTATATAAAAGAACTTCTCTTTTATCTCTCTGGCCCCATTAATTTTTCACTCTTTCCCAAAGCTAAAACACTCATAAAGCTTGACAAAAAATTCCATTTTTCTCTTTATCATGGCCTCAGTTTCTCCTCCCTTGAAAGATGAGCTAGACATTGTAATACCCACAATTAGGAACTTGGATTTTTTAGACCTTTTTTTCAGCCATATCATCTCATTATTGTCCAAGATGGTGATCCCTCAAAGACAATTATGGTCCCTGATGGCTTTGATTATGAACTCTACAATCGCAATGATATAAACAGTATCTTGGGTCCAAATTAAAGGCTTCTTGCATTTCCTTCAAAGACTGCTTGTCGTTGCTTTGGTTATATGATCTCCAAGAAGAAATATATCTACACTATTGACGATGATTGCTTTGTAAGTTCATTCTATCTTCGGGTAATGTTTATTTCTTTTCACGGGGAATTAATATAATGCATGCCGGTGGTATACACAAGATTTTTGTACAAGAGGTATGAGATATATTATTATAACTTTACATGTATGACGTGATTTTAGGTTTGGAGCCGTAGAGGTATTAAGGCTTTACTTCATGTCTCAAATTGACATTTATGTATGGATTCAAGTTATATATGATGGTGTAAAATATTTACAATGCCGGTGTAGTTTATAGTTACCATATTTTATTAGGTTATAAGTTAATGCTTATTATAAATATTTACTTGTAATTAAGTAAGAAATGATTGTGTAAATATTTTTTTACGTCGACGATACATAAACCTTAAACTGATTTTACATTATGTCCAAATTATGTAGGTCTATTATATAATGTGTACACACACATACAAACATAGTTCTTCAAAAACATTCTGTGTATGTACACATATTATATAATAGACCTATATAATTTGGATATAATATAAAATTAGTTTAAGTTCTATGTATCGTCGATGTAAATATATGTATCGAATGTTCGGCAAAGCGATATAGAATGATTTCATTAATATATTGGTCTAATTGGTTGAATGATTAATAAATGTCGTTAGTAATATAACTTAGTCGTGTTGTGAAAATTTCTCAAAAAATTACTTGTGTAGGTTGCAAAGGATTCAAGTGGAAAAGATATCAACGCATTGGAACAGCACATAAAGAACCTTGTGTGCCCATCAACTCCCTATTTTTTCAACACACTGTACGATCCATTCAGAGATGGAGCTGATTTTGTGAGGGGATACCCTTTTAGCCTTCGTGAGGGTGTCCCAACATCAGTGTCCCATGGCCTATGGCTCAACATCCCCGATTATGATGCACCTACACAACTTGTCAAGCCTCTTGAGAGGAACACTAGGTTTGCTTTTCTTTTCGGAATTAAGTTATATACACTGATACTATAGATTCATTGTTTAATTACTTTTGTAGCTGGTATATATAGATTATATATAGTTATACACATATTATACATGGATATACATCCGCGCATCGGTTATTTTTAGTTAAGTGGTTGGGAATCCATTGTCTAATTACTTTTTTAGTTGGTATACATAGATTATATACAGTTATACATATATTATACATGGATATACATTCCCGCGCGGCTATCTTTAGTTTAACCAGTTGGGTGGACGATTGTTTAGCTTAATTCTTTAATTTTTTTTTAATATTATAAATGTACTTTAGTTTGTTATAGCAGGTAATGTACATTTTTTTTCATGTTATATCAATCAAGGCTAATAAGGAGAGAGGGTTGAAAATACTCCGCTGTTATATAAACTATCTTACTTTTACCCTTCATTATACTTTGCGGCTATTCATACTATTGTCGTTAGCAAATCGTCTAGTATTTGTATTTGACCTAAAAGACCTTTGACTTGAATTATAACAAAGCGAGTAAGTTTAATACATATTCATAAGTAGACGGGTGAATTTAGACCTTTTTTCCAAAAGTATTTTCGCACATGAAATTCACAAATACATGCTGAAACTCCCTTAAAGTCACAGACAAATACAAGATAATTTGCTGACAGCAACAGTATAAATAATCTTATAATATAATAGCGGATAAAATTAAAACATTTCATATAGTTGAAATGTAAATATGAACCTTTTCGCTGCTAGTCACAAATGCAGCTGCTTTTAAGCAACTTACTTATATGAATAATTCTTACATATAACCTCTTTATTTTCTTTGAGTGGCAAGTTTGATTTAAGAAAGTTTTCTAGTTTTTTTTTTAATTAACTTGTGGGGAACATCTGTTGAACAGGTATGTTGACATGGTGTTGACAATCCCAAAGGATACTCTCTTCCCAATGTGTGGTATGAATCTTGCATTTGATCGTGACCTTATTGGGCCTGCTATGTACTTTGGACTCATGGGAGATGGCCAGCCCATTGGACGTTACGATGATATGTGGGCTGGTTGGTGTTGCAAGGTTTGCCCTTCTTTTAGTTGTTAATTTCTAAATTGAGATTTTTTCTTTCCTACATAATATTTGAAACTTATTTATTAAAATTGTTCAAATTTTATATATTACTCGTCCTAAATAAGGTTTGCTTACAATTTATATACAATCTCTTAAACTAGCGCTCTTCCATCTAAATAAGACTCCTTCCAGTTGTGTGTTATATGTTTTAAGCCATAATTAACGTAACTCTTCTCTCTGCCGCCTCCCTCCTATAACCAAACCCCATCTTTTCTGCTTCTTCTCATTTTCATCCAAACAAGGACCACACCATCTTTACCTCTTAATTTTATATGTTGAATAAGGTGTTATTGATGTGTTTATGTCGTTTGAGATTGAAAAAAATTATTTAATGAAGTTTTTAGAAATTGTCGTCGTATTAAGTTTTAGGATGAAAGGAAAGTGGATTGCAATTATCAGTCACTATTGCTGCTATAATATTCTAGTTTTTCAGTTTAACAAACATGAATCAGTGCACATGAGTTAGTTTGAAATTCATTCTATACTTTTCTTTAAGAAAAATACATAAGTACCCCCCGAACTATAGTCATATTTCCAACTATACACATTTACTTTACGAGGGTCCTATTATCTCCCTAAACTATTTTAGAGTATAATTATTTCCACCCTAAAGGCTTATATGGCAGTGTGTGTGTATTCTACTCTCTCAAAGAGAATGGGGAGTAGATTTTTTTAAATTAAAAATATACTTTCTTTCCTTTTCTTTTTTTTTTCTTTTTCTTTGCCTTTTTCTATAATATTCTTTTCTTCTCTTCTTTACATGAGGTTCCTTCAAACATAACATACACCGATGACGTCTGGACAAAATTTCTGTCACAGAAAAAAATTTTGCGCCAGAAAAAATGGAGTTCTTGAAATTCCAACGACCACTTATATTCTTTATTTCTTTTTCTCTTTCTTCCATACTAAATCACAATTTCAAGAAAAATTTATACATATATAAAGCAAAACACCATCAGATCTGGACAAAATATATCTGTCACAGGAAATTTTTTTTGCGCCGAAAAAAATGGAGTCCTTGAAATTCCGACGACCACCATTTTTCAGCTTATATTCGTTCTTTCTTTCTTTTTATCTTCCTCCCACACATAAATCATACTTTCTGTCACGCCCTTAACTTGGGCCTAGACGTAACACGGCACTCGGTGCCCGACTACATTTGACCGAGCGAACCAACTGGCTGGCTGAATCAACATGTGATATTATAACATACTGAATGCGGAAGATAAACTAACACATATTGATATAATGAAAGTTTGAATGATATAAATCAAAGTGTGAAAATACTAATACAAGTCTGAAACATATCCGTAGTCAACATTGCTTAACATGAAAAGTATGTGACTCTGTCTAACTGTTACTCTAGTCTATGAAGCCTCTAATGAAGTACTAAAAATACTGACTGTCTGTAAATACTGAAAGACTGTAAAGTAATGATAATGCCCTGAAAGAACTAGGGCTCACCCAATAGCTGGTACGAGAATCCTAGCGCTCTGAACCGTCAACTTGTAAATCATTACCTGCATCGTGAGATGCAGGCCCTGGGCAAAAGGGGCATCAGTACATTTAAATTGCACTGGTATGTAAAGCAACTGAAAGAAAGAACTATAAATACTGAAACTGAACTGATAACTGAGAACTGATAACTAAAATGATAACTACTGAAACTGAAACTGAGCTGATAACTGATGACTGAAATGATAACTGTTGAAAATGAAACTGAAATGATAATTGATAACTGAACAAAGGAAGTAAGGATATGAATATTCCCTCTTCTGAATGATGAACCACCTGTTTATCTAAATAAACTACGGCCTCGGGCCCAATATATATGTGCACAAGCTACGGCCTCAGGCCCAAGTATACGTATACATAACTACGGCCTCAGGCCCAAACATGCATAAAGCATAAACTATGGCCTCAGGCCCAAATACATGTGTTCAACATTCAGGGATTTAAATTCAGGAACAGAGAATCATATTGTAATATGTGATGCTGAAATAGTGAATCATATTGAGTTACATGATACTGGAATACTGAATAGGACTAGACTGAGACATGTATTCTTGAACTGATTATGAACACTGAAACTTTAATTGTTTATGACATGCTGAGTAATCTAGATTGAGACTCATGGGCATCAAACCCGAGTCTATATTGATTACGCACTGAGCTCACAACGTTCAGAATGAAAGTCATGAACGAGTTACGAAGTTAGGGAATAGAAGTTCTGAAACTATTCAAGGAACTAGGCATAACTATATATTTCTGAGGCAATTAGTAACATTGTAAAAAAAAAATATAGTGTAGGGAGAATCATTAACATTCCCAAACATAGAAAGTTAGCCTCACATACTTTGACTCCGGTCCTTTTAAGTGTATCACAATGTTCGTCGCCTCTTTCAATGATAATCTATGTCAAAATATATCAAGAGGAACCAATATTAACACTAATTCTCGTATTTTAGTCACTTAGGCATTTTATCAAACACCTTATGGGCGTAAAGCCTCATAGCCCTTAGTAATTGGTCTTTTCTTCACCAAGTTCTCATTCTACTACTTCTAGGTGATTCTACAATCCCAAATAGATGTAACTAATACCATTTTTCATCACCCAAATGTTTACAACAATCATAAGTCAACAACCCAAAATCCTAGCATAGTTCATATGGTTCTCTTTATCAAACCCATTTACTATTCTCCCAAGAAATCATCAATTCATAACTATAAATGATTAGTGAGTAGAAACATTACCTTTTTTGAAGTTCAATCCTCTTGAATTCGAGTTCTAGGGTTTCTTTTTTGAACAATAATGTCTCGATCGAATATTTAATGATTTGAAGGATTTACCCAGGTTAATAAGGTGTTGGAGAATTGAAATTAACTTAAAATCATCTTTAGAACTCACCTTGGATGATGGAGGGAGGGGAAGTTGGGTTCTTGAGAGATTCCCTTTATTGAGCAAACTTACGTGTTTGAGGTGTGGGGGACGAGGTAGGGTTTAAATAAGTGTACGCGTCCCAAAAATTGAGGAGAAAATAAAAGTAGCTCTGATAAACATCGTCGGCGCAGGGCATCATCTGAGGTGCTAAAATAACTGTGCAAGGCGCCATTAGAGGCGCCAAAACTACAGTGCCTTGCACTGTCAGTGGCGCTAAGGTTAATGCCCTAGACAGTGCCTTGCACTGTCTATGACCGTAAATTTTCATGGCCTTGCACTGTCTAAGACTATAAGACGGACCTCCCATAAACTTAGTCGATTCTATCGAATTTTATACACCTCACTCTCAGTCTTGATTCCAAAATAACTGTTTCCATCCATACTCATCCCGGTAGGACTTCACATGCCTAAAATGTCACACTAATACTCTTTTAACGCATCCATACCTAATCCGAATTTACGTAGTGTTACACTTTCAAGAAAATTTATACATATATAAAGCAAACACACTCAGATTTGGACAAAAATAATTGTCACCGAAAAGTTTTTTCGCGCCGGAAAAAATGAAGTCCTTGAAATTCCGGTGACCACCATTTTTACGCCACCATAACCACTAGTGATATTCACCATCTAAAAGTCTTCCATCAAAATAGTCATTTAAAGGTCTCAAGCTAAGAATAACAGTAAATTAGACTTTTAACAAGTTAGAGTTTTTAGGAATTATTTCATGTATACCAATCATTTCATCCATGAAAGAAGAAAGAAGACTATATTAATTATATATGAATCAATTTATCTAAGAAGAGAAAAGTAGAAAGGAAAATAAAAGAAAGGAAAAAAGAAAAGAAAAATAAGGGAAAGAATAAGAAAAAAATTAATTTTAGTGAAATTTATATGTGTCAAGCGAGTGTAGTTCACAACCCAATAGTAGTCTGGTTGTCATATTTCAAGGGTGAATTTATTCTACTTTAAAATAGTTAAAGGGGGTAATAGGACTCCCGTAAAAGAAAGGCGTGTAGTTGGAAATATGGTCATAGTTTGGGGGGTACTTATGTATTTTTCCTTTTTATTATTTAACAAATTGAGTAAGAAAAGAATAATGTATGGTACATCAACATACAAATTAAAAATAAATTTTGTACAAATTTAATATAAATTTGATATATCTACAACAACATACATACTAAACATAAATATCATAAAACTAATTACACATTATACAACTTATTTACCACTTATCTACAACTTTCATACATCATTCTTACCCAGTTAAATACAACTACAATATCATACAATTCTATACAATATGTCTTTTATATGTATTTTGTATATGATTTGTATATATTTTGTATGTAGTGTGTTCTTCTTACTCTCTGAAATTCTAATCAATACTTCCTCTCTTAATACAATTTTGATACATATCAACAACTTTATGTAAAAAGATAGTATTTATAACTTACATACAAATTTCATACAACGACTCATACATTATATAACTAATTTTTAACTTTTATACAACATTCAAATAAAAAAATACAATTACAAATAAAATACAATCAAATACAGTTTTTATACAAATTTCATACAACTATTATACAACTTTAATATAATTTTGTATGCATATTGTATGTCATGTGTTCTTCTTCTTCTTCTTCTTCTTCTTCTTCTTCGAATTTCAATCTGAAATCCAGCCAAAATTAAATCTAATATTCACCAAATATCCTCAAAATTGAGATATAAACAGTAAACTCCAAAGAATATTCCCAATCATTTGCAATAACACTCAATCCAAACAAATAATATTTTTTAAAAATCCGATTTCGAATTCAAAGCTTCGAAACTTTTTAATGGTTGTCAATGGTGGAGAATCAAAAACTTTCAAACTTTATTGATTGACAATTTTAGTTCGAACAATCGAGCCAAATAATTAATATCCATCTGCTGCTAGCCCTCCATCGGAACGCCAACAAGAAAAGGGAAACCTAGAAAAGCTCCAAACTCCAGCCATGATAAAATTCAGATTGATAAAAAATTAATCCATTTCTTCACCATTATTAAAGAAAATTACGAGCTTTAGAAGAAAAAACCTTGTAGAATAACTTTTGATCAAAATTTAGATACTTAGAAATACATATAGGTTACCGTAAATTGTGGTTTCTCTTATATCAAGATGACAAAAGATATATTTTGCAATAGTTATAGTTTTACTCTGGAGAAGCACAAAGTACAAAATCTGCGAACATAAGAAATATCCGCTATGTTTCAATTTATGACAATTTTTCATTTTTAATACATTTCAAAAGAATGATACATTTCTACATTTGTGCATAATTTAATTTTAATCCCTTAAACTTCTCATTTTTCTATTAATGACATATTTTTATAGCCATATAAATGCCAAGATATGCTTAAGGTCACAAGCTCCAAACATCTTTATTTCTTCAATTTCTTGCCCAATCAATTATCATCATATAAATGGAAACGGAGGGATTAGTATCTTTGGATAGCAAGATCAGAAAATTTTGATCGCGCATTGATTGAACTATTTTTACAGGTAATATGCGATCACTTGGGATTAGGAATCAAGACTGGATTACCCTACATCTATCAGGCAAGAAGAGATCATTCCATTTTTTCAGACATTAACCCTCTCCAAGGAATCTACTTCTGTCCAAAAATGCTATGTTGAACTTTCAAGGCTTGTCAAGGAAAAGCTTGGGAAAATAGATCCCTATTCCTGAAGCTTTCAGATGCGATGGTCACTTGGATTGAAGCTTGGGACGAGCTCAACCCAGCTTCTAAAGATTCGTCCAAAGTTCCCAATGGCACTTCCAAATGAAAATTTCATTTGTTAATTGCAACAATTTAGTTTGAAGTGTTAATAGTCTTCAATTTACTTAGTTTTGCAGTTGTATTGTTTTAGTATTTCCTCTTGGAGTTCTAGGTTTAGTCAAAATGAATAAGGGGGTGATATCAATAGATGTGATCCTCCTCCATTGCTTTTAGTAGACTGCTAAGAGCTACAATGCAGGGCTTGTATTCTGGTTTCCCTTAGATTTCTAGTTGTTTTCTTGAACTTGTTATGAGAATGAAATCTATACTTTCTATTTTGCTATACAAGTTTCTTTTTCTTTTTGTTTATCCATCCTGTGTCCAGAACTTATCATGCCATAGAAAGCTTACTATGAGGATAGTGGCGAAACCGGAAATTTACAAGGTAATTCGAAAAAAATTTAGGATGTCACAGTTGGGAATGTATGACCTAAAGCAACTTTTAAACCCCCTTCACTACAATACTTAAATTTTTCTTCTTGTCAAAGAAGATTCAACAGCTCATATATAACCAAAAAAGCCATTTTGCATAAAATATTTTCCGATGAAAGAATTTTCAGGTTGTCATGTTGGAGATGTGAATTGTCCTCTCACGAGCAGACCAATGTAGTCATTGGTTTAATTGATTTTAAGTTTAATACAGTAGTTTAATAAATCAAAGGGGTGGTTGATCTGATGATTTTCAAACTTAACAAGGAAATCAGTTTCAGTAATTTCTGAGGTCAATGAAGATTTAGATTAAATCATTGCAGATTACTGTACATATTATTTGAATATCTGTCCAATATAAAGCATCTCAGCCTATATCTAGTGGGTTGTGATCTTTTTTTTCCCTTTCCCTTGGGAAGTTTCAAATCATAATTTCTCAACCTGCTGGGTAAATTAGGTCTGGTCTTTGTAGTTGTTGAAGGAAAGCTTCAGGTGTATAAATTTATCGATTGATGACTTGGTAATACCAATTCAAAATTCTGGAGATGTATTCGTTTTCACAATAGATCTCATTCATTTTCAATTTAATGTGGGAAAGACTAAGGTTGTTGCATTTGCTGGACTCACTATTCGAAATCCAGGAGTCATCACTATTGCGTTTGCAGTTTTAGGTTCAGACCCACCAATCAATCCTGATGTTCTCATAAAAGCATTCCAAGTTGACAAGAAAGTTGTGGATTACCTCCAACTGCTTGTGTCACATAAATAAGTAATCTTGACGACTGGCTTTCCTCTCCATTTCAGTGCGATGTATTATTGGATGAGGATATGTTATGGCTTGTTATGGAATAATAATACTTTGTTACTCATGTTTAGCCAAAAGGAGAGCCTTGGCGTAACTGGTAAAGTCGCTGTCATGTGACCAGGAGGTCATGAGTTCGAGCCCTGGAAAGTGAAAACAACATCTTGCAGAAATTAGGATAACCCCGTGCATAGCTGGGAGCTTAGTGCACCAGGTTGCCTACTTATGTTTAGCGAGGCAACAAATCTTTAGAAGCATTAGTTCCACAAGAATACCACCTACAGCAAGAAACAACTTAGTTATATTTTACAGGTACAATGAGGGGTGCAGCAATTTTTTCTTTTTCAATTTTATCAACTTTGAAAATCCTTGAGCTGTAATAACTGACTTCACATTACCGCTAATCAAAATTCAGCATTTAGATGCAGAAAAAGAGAAATTCCAGTCCATAATCTTTCTTCTCTCTGTTTTGTTGGAAACAACAGTTACTGTAGCTATACAGCTGACGTAGTCATAACAACTATCGACAGTATGACAATAGGCTAATGTTTTTACATAGTAGTACTAATTTTTTTTTTCTAAGAAAACGAATGGAGAACAAGAAACAATATGTTACACAAAGAACTTATTAAATCAGAGTAATATCAAAACTAAGACAAAAGGTAATAAAGGGAAAGTGAAAAAAGAAATGGCCTACCTCCTTTAAGATTCAAAAAACCGACACAAATGAAATATCTACCTCCCAAGTCCTACAAGCATTTTCACAATCCTCTCTGCAAGGAAATGCAGAAGAAACAGATTATGAGAGGATAAAAAGCAGGCACAAGACCAGTTTGGCCAAGATATAATTTATGAACCGGGCAGTGGCGAATGCAAGATTTTGCACAAGTGGTGTCGGACTATTGTCGCGATTTGTCTTGTAAGATGTTTAGATCTGAGCTTTTGATGGATTTAAGGTTTATTTTCAGTCTAAAATTGATAGTTACTTCATATTATTTTCAGGCGGTTTCAACCTATTGTATGCATACTTATTATTTTTCAATATTTTGCTTTTCATGAAGCGGTGTTAGATGACACCCCTTAATAAAGAGTATCTCCGCCATTGGAATCAGGATCTTCAGTCCTCTTACGCTTGGTTGCAGGCTCATCACTATCCTCAAAGCTGCTAAATGCATTCACTGCTTTGGTACCCAGAAGAGACACATGCTTACCGGTAATCTGGCGACCTGCCCTGAGTTTTGGGCCCCAATGCCTTTCGGGATTAGGAAGGAAACGAGCAACCTTCTTGGCCTGTGCCTTGCTAAGGGATGCAACAGCCTGAGCAAAATTAGCCTGAAATGAACTTGAAGCTAAGATATTAATTCCAGATACAAGACTACAGAAGGGCATATCACATTAGAAGTCAGCTGATGTCTTCCCCGAGAATCCAAAGGACCTTGTTCTTTCATTAAAGACAGAGTGAGATACAACACAAGTCTGACACATGTAAATAGGTGTACGTATATGTGTGATGACCCGATAGGTCATTTTCAGTTTTAGCCCTCATTTTTGTGTTTTGAAACCTCGAATAGCTCCATTTATCCTTCCTCGATTTGCGTGCGCAGTCCGTGTCCCCATTCCGGAAGGTTTTTATGAGAAAATTGATGAAAATGTGAAATCGAGCCTTAAAACTCATTTGAGTTGACTACGGTCAACGTTTTGTGTAAACGGACCTGGATCAGTGTTTTGACGGTCCCGGTGGGTCCGTATCGTGATTTGGGACTTGGGCGTATGCCCGGAATTGAATTCGGAAGTCCCTAACTTGATTTATCATAATTTGTTGAAAACTAGTAATTTAAAGGTTTAAAGGATTCATAAGTTTGACCGTAGGTTGACTTTGTTGATACCGGGTTCGGATTTCGGTTCCGGAACTTGGTATAAGTTCATTACAGTATTTATGACTTGTCTGCAAACTTTGGTGCAAAACGGAGTTGATTTGACGTGATTCTGACGTCCGGTTGAGAAATTGCATGTTCTTAAGTTTCATTGAAAATTACATTCGTTTGGGTGTCCGATTCGTAGTTCTAGGTGTTATTTTGGTATTTTGATCGCGCGAGCGAGTTCGTATGATGTTTTTACACTTGTGTGCATGTTTGGTTTGGAGCCCCGAGGGCTCGGGTGAGTTTCGGATAGGCTACAGATGTTTTGAACTTAGAATTTCTAGTTCTGGCTTCTGCTGTCAGCTGGTGTGTCCTTCGCGACCGCGAAGATACTCCCGCGATCGCGAAGAGTAGTTTGGGGACTGGGGTGGATTTACTCATCGCGAACGCGAGGTTTTGATCGCGAACGCGGAGCAGTAAGGGGTCTGCCCTTCGCGAACGCGGCCACTCCATCGCGAACGCGTAGTGTTAGAAAGGCGGGGGTTGGGAATGGTACTTACTCTACGCGAACGCGAGCCCAGGCTCGCGAACGCGAGGTGGGCTAAGCCTACGCGAACGCATAGTATTTCGCGATCGCGTAAGCCAACTGGGCAGTGCCCTTCGCGAACGTGTCAGGTGTCTCGTGAACGCGATGAACACCTGACGCCCAGTCATATAAACATTCCAAACACGGGATTTCATCCATTTTTCACCATCTTTTCATTAGAGCTCGGCCTAGAGGCGATTTTGAAGAGAAATTTCATCACCATTTCATAGGTTAGTGTATTTTAACTTGTTTTCTTCCATTTCCATCATCACCCACTAATTTCTAGCCTTAATCTATGTTCTTTTATGGTAGAAAATTAGGGATTTTGGAAGAATTAGGAGTTTTTGTAAAATTGAGATTTAGACCTCAAATTGAGGTCGGATTTCGAAACTAGTTACACAATCGGGCTCGGAGGTGAATGGGTAATTGGGTTTTGGTCCGAATCTTGGGTTTTGACCAAGCGGGCACAAGGTTGACTTTTGTTGACTTTTTGGGAAAAGTGTAAAGATCTTAACTTTATGTATTGTAATTGATTTCCCTAGCATTATTTGATGTTATTGAGTTGATTTTGGTTAGATTCAATTGGTTTGGAGGCAGATTTTAGAGGAAAGACCCCGGTAGAGCTTTGATTTGCTTGCGTAGCGAGGTAAGTGTTGGGTCTAACCTTGATTTGAGGGAATTAGGAACCCTTGAGCTATAAGCTATGTGAATTACATGTGTAGCGGCGTATATGCGAGATGACAACCGTATATACATCATCAAATTACTTGTTTCTATGCTTTCCGTATTTCATTAATTACTTTATTCCATGACTTAACCGTTACATTACTTGTTTTCCGTATCTTCATTGCCTCATATTATGTCTTGTTTCATGCCTTAATTGCTACATGCTTATTTGACTTCTATGCCATAATTGCTATTGGCCATTTAGCATTTCTTGTATTAAATTGTCCATCCCCTCCCGGATTCCATAATTATTTACTACTTGTCTCTATTTGTTTCCCTCGTATATCTAAATTGTCTTATGCCTTGTTGCCTTATAGTTTCGTATTAATTGTTGCCTTCATTGAAGTAGTTTCACTTGTACGTATTGTTAAAAGCAGATACCATTGAGTTGGTAAAGTTGAGACATCCGAGTAGTTCGAGCCTCTTTGATTATCATGTTATTCTCCATTGCCCGTACATTTATTCTCTTGATGTATGATTTCTCGTAAATTTTAGTTATTGAGTTACTATTGTTAATTGACATTGTTTGAGTAGCGGGTTGCACGCCGCAACGGAAATTGAAAGCTAATGAATTGAAATGTCGCAATAAGGATGGACTATGATATTGACAGACGATTATATGGTAGGGTCGGGTTGCGCGCCGCAACGGATAGTTTAAAGTTGATATTGTGGGATCAGGTTGCGTGCCGCAACATGTTGATAAAAGTTATATTTGTTGTAATTGTTGGATTGGCCTCGGTTGTTAAGATGAGTCAAATGACTGGTTATTCGAGACTCTCTGCTGGTTGATTTGAGCTTCGTTGATATCAATTACCTGCTTTACTTCTATTTCGGTTCTTCTGTTATTATTATTATTATTGCGTACAGGTTAATGTAAGTGGCCCGCCTTAGCCTCGTCACTACTTCGTCGAGGTTAGGTTCGACACTTACAGAGTACATGGGGTCGGTTGTACTCATAATACACTCTGCACTTCTTGTGTAGATACCGGAGTTGGTCCCAGCGGCGTACCGTAGACTTGCTAGGATCCAGCTACCAGAGGAGACTTGAGGTATAGCTGCACAACGTCCGCAGCTCTAAGTCCCCTTCTACTTCTTTTAGCTGTTCATTTGATTCAGACAGTTATGTTTATTTCATATCATTATTTGTAGTATCTTAGACGCTCACGTAATCGTGACACCATATCCGGGGTTTGTATTTCGTCACTTATTAGTTTATTTACCTTGTTTTAGACTATTCGTTTTTTTTATTGTCATCGTATTTGAAGTTTGTTAAAAATGGTTAATAATTACATCTAACGTTGGCTTGCCTAGCAAGTGAAATGTTAGGCGCCATCACGGTCCCGAGGGTGTGAATTCCGGGTCGTGTCAATATGTATGGCGATTACTAAGTCTCTCGTAGGCATAGGTTGTTATTTACCGGTAAATCCTTTTGATCTCACTGAAATGAGTATATGATGGCAAGTTTGTTATCAAAGAAATTCAAACTTAATTAGAATCATTGTAATTTGTAACAAGTGTGAAAAATGAGGAATTCTCATATAGAGTGTAATTGACGTTTGGTGATATGTTGCACTAAGATGATGGCCTAACATTTGAATTCAAGGGAAGCAAAAGTCACAGGAGAATTGCATTAGAGTCAAGAAACTGGAATGACTTGATCCACGACCAAACATGGCTGCGAAAGGTTGGACGCTGAGAATATAAAAGTTGGACAGTATTTTATACTCCTAACTAGATTTGGAATAGTATATTTTACAAATACAACAAACTAGAATACAGATCTATCCTACTACACCAATGTCATATGGTAATCAGTACCATACAGAGCACAACACACAAGAGGGAAACAGAAGGTCAAGATTCACCTGCAGAACAGGTTCCTTAGCAAGAATCACACTTCCAGCCTGGTTAGATGGTTGAGCTTTCACAGGATGATTTTTGACCTGCACATGGAATTTTATTACTTCTCCACTCATGGAACATGCAAAACTATAAACATGTAAAGCAAGGGTTGCTCATATAATTATCAGATTAGGCTCTACAAGAGAAACAATCTGACACAACTCAAATTATTATACAGAACTTTAAGCTGCAATGAAGTGCTAGGAGTTATTTCTCCTTTATTCTTCAGGGCTATTTTTTCTTTTCAATTTTTTTTTAACACAGGTAACTATTTCATTGATCAAGAGACAAAAACAAACACAAAGATGGTGCTTGGTGCTTGGCATTACATAGTCTGGCAACGCTCTAAACAAAAACAAATAGAAGGGTTCCCATCTGTACTTTTTTTTCTTTCCTATTTTTAAGGCAAGAAACAAGTAAGAGCTGACAGAAACAAGCAAACAAGGTACATTTACCCAGCAACGCATGATATCCCAAATGGTGTGCATAGGAGCATCTGTTTTCAATCCCAAAGGATTCATATGAGTCCCCGATATACGATATCCTGCATTGATTACAGCAGAGTGAAACATAACTGCTGAGGGAGAAGTGCACTTCAGTGTTGCGGAGATATTGTGCAAACTCAGAAACAGAGGAACATCAGGTAATTCCTGCGAAAAGGTTCTTTTCATTGTTTAGGTATCCAATAAGAAGTCAAGCAGATCAGAAGATTCTCTTCCCCCCACCCACAAGATAACCGTTGAAAGTGCTTCTCCATTGATACGGTCTGCTACAAAAAATTTAGTCACCAGGAATTACTGTTTTTCTTAAAATTTATATACAATGAGCATGGCAGCATGAAAAGTAATGTCCTCACTTGCCAAAATCATCAGGGCATATATGGTAATTATGTATAGGATATGTAATTAAATGAGAACCTCTCTAATAGTGGTAATTAGGTACATAATGTAGCAAAGATAGGTAAAAATTCCAAGAAGATTCATGGTGTTTGGTAAAAGAAATTCGCGCTTGCGAAAGCCCAATCAAATACAAAAGAGAAGCTTATGTGGAATAGAAACATTGTATTCTACTTATAATCTTATATCAATGATAGAGTTATTATTACTTCATCCATTTAACTTTATGCGTCTTTGTTTTGACCATGCACGAAGTTTAAAAATGTAAAGAATTTTTTTGAATTTTGTGGTCTTAAATTAAAGAAGTGCACAATGCACCAAAAATACTTTGAATCTTATAATCTTAAACATGTCATGTTATTCCTAAATATGAAAAGGTCACATATTTTCAAACACAAAGTAAAAAAGAAAAGTAAGACACATTGAATACAAATTGAAACGGCCAGAGTAATACTTTTTACAAAAAAAAAAAACGTTATGAAATCTTCCTTTTATTTAGAGCTGTTAGAGTCACTCTCTAACTTCCCAACTTGTCAAATGCCATTTACTCTATGTGATTTGTAGTATAAATAACTGGAGATCAAGACCCTGTTTTTAAAACATATGCTCATCAAATAAACGAATTTTTTTTTATATGGTTAGTACTAAATGACTGTTTATATCCCTACACTGTTTACCATTTATGTTATACCTCTCACTTACAGGGGTAGAATAATGAATGTCATGTCGTCAACTACTACTCCCTCTATTTCACTTATGTGGTGTAGTTTATTGGCATAAGAGTTAAACGGAGAAAAAAGACTTTGAAACATGTGGTCTTAAATATGCCAAGAGATTTTCATGACTATAAAAGCATCATGTTAAGGGTAAAATGGATGTTTAAAATTGAATTGCCTTCATATATAGAAAGACCCGGACTAACAAGAAAACAATGTTACATAAAATGGAACAGAGTAGTCCAATTTCCAGCAAATTTTTTTTTTAAAAAAGAAAAAAAAAACAGAAAATTTGAAAGAGTGCCAAGTGCCAACTGGTAACTGGATAAGTCAGAAGTGAAATGAGCATAATACCAATTATAGGCAAACCACACCTCTGAAATTGCTGTCAAAACAGCACAGATTCGATCATAAGCTGGATACCGTTCCTTCATTGATTTCACATCAGCAAGTATGGAAGCTACCCATTCTTGATCATGGATGGGCGCAGACCATATGGGTCCACCCATATTGAATTTTTTTCCACAATCACTGCACTCTTGAGGAATAGCTGGGCCGAATCCAGGGTGGTATCTGAGTCTGTTATCCTAAAGAAGCAGAAAAGATTCAATATAAATGTGGGTATCCACTTAATTGTACCTTAAAACAATATCTTGTGAGGACTATTTATTAACAAATTCTATGAACAGAACCCATGATATAAAGAAAAAAGGAGATGCCTTCTCCACTGCACGTACAACAGTCTCAAGGTTTCCTACAACTTTCTCCCCACTAGCAGACGAACTATCATTCTGCCAAAGGAACCATTATTCTTAATCTTCCACAATAGACCAAGAAACAAAAGCAGGTAAGCAGTTTTAGTTGTTTAAAGAGTTCTAATATATTCAGCATTCTCTTCCCTATAATAGGACTTTCAAACAAGGTCAATTCATAAATCAAGTCAAGTACTATTCAAGTCCGTCTAAAAAACAAATTGGACTTTCATCTACTTTGTTTAACGGATTTGAATAATACATAGTTTGATTTATGAATTGACCTTTCTTATTCTTCTCTCTTATCTCTTCAATTTATCTCCATTCTGACCTACTAAAAGCCAATGTCAGCACAATCAGAAGATGACATTGAGCTAATAACTCATGCTAAGTATGAATAATACCATGAATTATCATGTATCTACTACATCTTTAGGAACTTCTTTCAACTATATTGAACTATATCACCTACATATCTAGGCCCAATGGAGTATGAGCTGCTCAGTCCAGCACAGGCAGTTGTACAATGAAGATACAACAGAGATTTGAATTGGATGCAAACCTTTGAGATAGTTCTTCCGACTGGCTGAAGATGGAAAGAATCACAACCAGTGCACTGATAGACATATGAGAGCTTCAGAGGAGTATTCTTCATAGCACTTGCTGAACTGTACATAATTGAACTCTTTAAATACCCTGACATCAGACATAGTACAACGAAAAACTATGCAAGATTGGACTAACAGCTAAAGTTAATGGACAAAACGCATACCTATAGATACGAACAAAAACACGTACATAGAAGTCCATCTGAACAGATAATACTGGAACAATATATCTTTTGTACCGATTTGCATGGCTCTGATGTGAAATTAGAAATAACAATGAAATAAAACTTAATCAGATGAATTGAAAATAATAATGGTACAAAATTGTTATTCACTTTTAAAAATAGAGAAACAAAAACGAGAATACTACTAATTAAGTACATGCTTAAGTGCCAGGTTTTTCCTCCCTGTTGGAGTAACTTCAATATCCTACAGTAGGCTAGTATCTTAAACACGATATGAAGATGTATATAATGATAGAAATTACAAGGAGACACCAGAATACTTTTTTTTTTT